AGTAATAACAGTAATAACAGTAATAACAGTAATAATAGTAATACAAAAATTGTAATGATAGTAATGATAGAAATGATAGAAAAATAGTGATAATAATACCAATCGTATCAATAGTAAAAACAAAGTATTAAGAGTATTAAAAGAAATGACAACAATAATTTTCTGAAAAATACCAGTAATGTTTGAAATATAGTATGACAAACAGAGAATATTATAAGTCATTGCGTTGATAGTAAGAAAATAGCTATAGCAGTACTACTAGCAGCAGTAGCAGTGATAGTAATAATAATCAGAATAGTAAGACTAATTAATAATCGCGGTAAGAATATTACGCGCTAATAGTAGCAGCAACAATACTAATGGCATAGGAAATCATATCATCATTATTCTCATGTAGCTTTCGTCATGAATGATCACGCTGCCATCCCCCCCTCAGTGACCCAGCCAGGTTACCCCTTCCACAAATAACACACAAAAGGAGAACTGGGATATCATTTCACTATCAAATGACAAAGAGTTGAAAAAAGTTAATCCTTCCCTGCCCTTCTCCCCCGCATGGTTTGTCTTCCTTTCTGTCACTACATCCTTTATCACAAGCAGTAGTTATAAGCATGAGGCAAATGAAACGATAATGCCGCTTCCTTCCGCCCCTAAAAAAGTCGCGTGTGCCCTCCAACGTTGATGTAGACATACCTCGTAGCGACCACATTCGGCAGGTGATACTTCGGATGTTGACCAGGAGGTGAGGGCTTCTTTCAAACGACATTTACAGTCGGCTTCAATTCACAGCGATTTGTACAGTCTTTGTCTCTGAATTCTGTTCTGCATTCTGGCCAGATGAGCGTATCTCCGGAACGAACACCACTGCGTGCACCTCGAATGCCCAACTTGGCCGACCAGGCCGGTCTGCATCCGTTGATCTGGCGGCTAGCGGTCTGCTCTTGGATGTTGTAGCTTCTGCTCCACCAGTCGGACGCGGCAGATCAACCACAGAGCATCGCCACTCCGGCCAGGTGGGAACCAAGGGAATCCGAATTGCTTCGGAAGGTCCTTTTGCTGTGTGAAGGCCGTGCAAAGCCCGAAGATCGCCGCGAGGCCAGCCACAAAACAGGAGACCACAAGCCTTGACATGGAAGCATCGTGTCAACTTTTCTGGCCAGTCCTTCGCGCATCGCTTTTGCTTTCCTGCTGCAGTTGGCAGTTGAGGACTCTTGTGGAGCGGGTGCTGGGACCTCATTGGGCCACGCAGAAGTTTGCAGATGGAGGAAAGCTGTTATATACCAATTGCTTCGCATGCTCTCTCAGTCTTAATAAGGGCACCTGAGGCCTCAGGCCCGCAAATCCAGGCCTGAATCGCCAACGCTACTAGACCGGTAACCATCGCAAGGAGCTCTGGGATCTGTGTCACAGCCTTCATTTGACAACCTGAATCTAAGCCCTACGCATGGAGACTTAGTCGACAATTGCAAGTTCGACATACTTCAGGATCAAATCTCATGTCGGTAGGTTGATGAATGTATCATCGCTCAATAAAGATCACATCCTCAGCAGGACGGACATGCAGCGACGAAGCACACGCGACGTTACGCAGGTCATGCTGCCCGACTATTGCACACCGCGCTCATTCAATCTTTGGCCACTGTAGCTGGAGCACGTGCTTTGCGCGGCCATCATGCTTCCTCGGGTTTTTGCTACTTTTCCGGGCCATTTGCTTCAAGAGTTCTGTTCCTCTTGTTGCTAGCTTTCGGATTTGTGGTGTTTTTCCTTGCAGTTGCCAATGACGTTTCTTTGCCACCGACTGACTGTCGGCTTGGGTGTGAGGCTTTGTCTACAGGAAACCTGTGCTGCGACTTGCCAGGTTTAGTTTGGCAAATTCTTCAGAAGGAGCATGTTTAAGCAACAGCAAAACGCTTTCCCCTTGAATGTCCTTGGATCATTTGCGAGTACGTAGTAAAAATAGTTTTCAACACCCAGCTTCCGTGCCGCAAAGCAGCAGTTCTGCCTGTTACATGTTGTGCTGGCCCAAAGTATTTTCAAGAATCAACACTCTTGATACGCTCTGGTTCTGTGAGGCGCCAACATCCTGTGAATTACAGTGCAAAAACATTTTCTTCTATGTTCTTCACTTCTTCGCAAAGCGCGCGCTGCCTTTAGTTGTTGTTGGCCCGCACTGGAAGCGAAGATGCCTTTGTTTTGGATGGTTCGCGTGCTCCGTACGTTGCCCACACACCTTCAGCATTCTGTACGACCGTCTTTGACCCAGCGTCGGTGCCAACCTAGGTCGGTGCCTACCTAGGTTAGTTTCGAAATCTTGGACAGTCTTTTGTACCTGCATTTAGAAATCGCTGTGCATGCAGTCCTTCTCGACCTTGTCGACATCTGAGAAACGAGATCTTTTGCAATCATGCAGTCGTGTTTTTGCACAGGTCATGGACGCTGGTGACATCACAGGCCAACTCATGTTCAGTCCAGGAGTTCATTTACAGCGCTGGCCAAAACATGAAGACCCTGAAACGATGTTAATTTCCTCTATTTAAAGCATGCTGTGAGTATATCATGCAGGGAACTATTCCGATTTGTCTCTGCGGGAACCTGGTCAGCTGCTAGACTCAGCTTTGTGCCTGATTCCGGGTAGGGTGAGAAAGATGTTTCATAGTGCCATGGCGATGTCAGCGTCAGCCCACATCACATGCCACATGTCCGTGCAGGAGTTGCGTCAAGCGCCGAACTCACCTCGAACGCTGAGACCTGAAAGGGAGCATGGCATGCAGCTGGTGGGTGAATGGCCATTTGCCAAGGCCAGCTTTTCGCATGCGACCAACCTCTCCCCCCAGTCGCTCGGAGTGGCGCCGGTTGCCAGAGGAAGAGCAGCTGGGAAGCTTTCAGCCCAATGCATTTGAAACGGTAGGCCGGACTCAGGGCAGAAGCCTCTTTTGCTCATCCAAGGCCGGACATGAACGAAGGCCGGTGGACATGCACTAGAGGGTACATCGTACTTAGGTGGGCCGCTGAGCCTCGTTGTGAGGCCGTTTGAGACGCGAGTTCTCTGACATTCAGCTGATCGGCAAAGGCCCAGTGGATCAGGATTCACGAAAAATCGATGTCTGGAGATCAAAGCCTGCAGCTCGCGCATATCCGTTGACGTGTCACTCCTCGCGTCGCTGAGGCATGGTTTGATCGGGAGCGTTGTTGCTTGTTTCTCCACATACTGTTGCAGTTCTGTGCCGTGGTATCTTCGGGTTTGCGGGGATGGAATCCGCCGTGGAATGCCGGGAGTTCTGGACAATTTGAAAGTATTTGCAGTTCTTATAGCTATTATAGCAGCCTCCCAAGCAGGGCAAACTACATCTAGCTGTCCATGCAGGTCAATTCTCCACCGTTTACAAGGCTAGCCGCCTTGTGTCAGCTGCAAGTTGGCCATGTCCCATTTTCAGGGTCGTCCAGCTTCAAAGTGAGAACTCAGCTTCAGCATGTCGGGCCATGCTTGTGCTCAGAGTGTTGTCAGAGAGAGGGAAGCAACTTAAACCCGCGTGCACACGATTCTAAGCTCAGGGTCCATGGCCTAACATGCAGGGGCACTGCGCAATCCCTGGCAAACCCGGTTTCATTGTCTAAGTCCTGACTCTTGCAAGTGCGCATCTGCGTGTGCATGCCTGGCGTGGTTTGACACACGGCTTTTGAACCTAGGCACACAAGCAAACACGCTCAGATCATGCCATATGACATTGCATACGCTGCCGACATCGTGCTAATAAGGTTGACCGCACCGCAAATGCAATGCACCACTTGTAGTATGTTGCACGTCCTGGACGAAGAAGAAGCTGAACTCCACGCCAACACGATTCAAGCAGTGTTTGTGGACCAGACCAAGCCGCCGCGTAACTCCAAGATCAACAATTGGGGAAGCGGTTATGTGGTTTTGTTGCTTTCCTGGTCCAACCCATTCAGAGGAGGTAGCATTCACGCACATGATGCCATCGCAGAGCTTGTAGAACAGTACAACGCCCACGAAAGGTCACGCAGAGAATACTTGTTTTTTGGTTGTCCCGGCCGATCTGGACGCCTTCACCATCGCAGAGCAGAGACTTAAACAACTGGACGCATGAAGACTTTTTTGGTATCGATGTGAAAATCCAGACTGCGAAAATTGCAGTCGGAGCCGTGGCAGAGAGTTGCTTCGTATAATCTTGCCCCATACAGCTGGCGATTACAATGTCAGTATCGCCAGCACGGTGCCGGGTCGTCACAGGCTCAAAACCGTGTGGACCGGTGTTTCTACGCCGTCGGGACTCCAAGCGTAGGAATGTCTTCTGCGTTTGCTGACAGTGACCCACCACTCGATGTCGCGGGATTCTGGCAACTTTTGGGTCTGACCAGCTGTTTGTTCCATTACTTGCTGCTGCAGCGTTTGCTGAAACCATACATACCCAGAGGACCACCAATTGGAGCGATGAGGTGCTGTAGACGTTGCAAGGCTTATTATTTCGCGGACCTGGTGAATATTTTGGACGAGACAAGCCACAAACTAGTGCGGAACAACAGCAACTGTACAACCACTGGATACCAAACCAGAAGCTGTTGAGAAGTCATACGTAGCTCACATCTCCCAGCGCCCCCCGGCGGATGCCATGGACTTTGCTTCGCATGGTCTGGAGGCGCGGATGGAACATACACATTACTGAAGCTGTATTGATCGAATATAGAAGTAGTGGATAGCAGCAGTGGTACATCGTTCCGCGCGGTGGCTTTTTCGGCCAATTCGGGGATGCAGGGCATATGTTTGTTTTGAATGAGCCGGATTCTTGGAAATTAGCAGCTGTTGCTGTTGCGAGAACCCGATTCCAGAGTCCCAGTTTGCATGCGGCTCAAGGTCGGAAGGTCAAAGACAGATGTGTTCGCTGGTTCGCTGGTTTAGACAATTATGGGCCATTGTTCAACAATGCTACAGCTACGACATTGATGGTTTTAAAGCGGGAAGCTGCTTCGTCATTGCGGCGAATCTGGACCTCAACGGGTTGTGTTTGATGCTTCGGTGCGGCCGCTGCCACGTCAGTCCGAAGTCTCTTCGGTCACCCATTCCCTTCCCTCTCTCAGTACTTGCGTTCCAGCATCAGTTGCTCGAAGCCAGTTCTGAGCATACACAGAGACTTTGTGCCCCCGGAGAAGCCCGCTGATCCAAACTGAGGCATGTTTAGATTTCTCGATAAACATGCAATGAGTGCTACACTTTTCGACGGTGTTGGTCTCATGTGAATATGGCGCATGTTTCGCGGGCTCTTGTTATCTCTAAAGTGTCTTTGTCAGAGCGTTCATACAGGTGGGCCCAATTCTCTCAGTGCCCGTTCTGTAGGTATGGTCCAATGCCGGAATGCAGGTCCATTGCGAAACGCAAGCAAGGTTGCATATGTGCCACGATATGAGCTTGTTATGCCAATCTTGATGCAAAAGACCAAAAAAGTGTGCGCAGTGTTGAGAAGCTCTGCTTTGCAAGTGATCCTCCGACCTGACATGTGCGAGAAGCAACCCTTTCCACCTCTTCCTTATGCGGCCTCCGAGTTTAGGGGTGCCGTGCTTTTCCCCTAGGGTTGGCTCTGGTCTGGGGTCCTTGGTAGGGTTGGCCGGGCGGGTCTAGCAAATAGATACATGATGAACCAGATTCGAGTTTAAGACATGTGACGAACCTGAGTCGCCAAATGGGGGGCGTGTCATATACGATGCCGGAGTTGCCCAATCGGGGGAGGGGGGCGTGTTCAAGATATGTGATGAACCCGGATCGCCACATGAGGGGGCGCGTTCAAGATACATTTTGATGAACCGGAATCACCAAAGATGCAAGCAGGAGCGTGCTGCAGTTTTACATCCAAACATCGAGTCTGCCAACCGAGCATTCCGTGTAGGGTGCAGCGTTCACATGTCCAGACGTTTGTGCCGCTGCTGTTGTTACTTAAGACTTAAGGGAAGGGCTGCGCAGATGAGTCAAAAGTGAGCCGCCAGTTTGCGCTGCATGCGTTGCAGATCCAGGCTCCACTCTTCTTTGGGATCGCCCCGGCCAGCATTCTGAACGACACCGAGAAAGCCCAGCCCGAGGCGGCCAGAGTACGCACGGACATTCAAGAGATTGTGAGGACACCGACCTATTTCGTCTTCACCAACCTGGTGATATCACCTTCCCAGGACTCTCAGGTGCGCCTAAGTGGCTGCTTCAGGTGATGCGAAGGCGGCGCACAAATCTGGGCCATCCTTCGACGGCAACCATGGTTCGGCAGCTCTCGGCTTCCGAGGCACAATACAGGCTGCTCGCCATCTCAGATGTGAAGTGTGTGTTTGTGTACAACCTCCTCGCGAACCTCGCCCGGCAAAGGCCTTCACCGCCAGGCGCTTCAATGACCGCCTGGATTTGGCTGTCCTGTGGCTGAAGGACATACGAGGCCAAACGCATGGCTATCTTTCTCAAGTGGACGATGCCCACCTGCTACCACGTGCCCAACTACCTCAGAAACCGTAGCGAGCAGGAGGTGATCAAGCTCCTCATAAACGGCACGTTTTCGTTCTTTGGTCCACCAGACGAAATGCAGCTGGATGCCGATGGCAGCTTCAGGGGCTACCGCTTTGAGACCTTGCAGGCCCAGTGCTCAACAAAGGTCAGATACGCCCCGGCCGATGCACATTACCAGATGGTCGTGCAGAGCGGCACGCGGCCAAGCAGTGCGGTACATCTTGCAACGCCTGGTTTCCCAGAGGTCATTGTGGCCGTGGATGGTTCCACTCTATGGATCCGCAACAACCGAGGCCGCTTGATATCTGCAAGCAAAGAACAAGTCAGGCTGGCCAACCTCTCCAAGATGTGATGGGCAAACCTTTGACGGCATCTACGGCGCCTCCGATGCTGGCCCCACTGATGATGATTCTGGCCACTCCCAAGTCCATGCCGGCTACTCCAAGGGCGAGACACGGAGCCGGAGCAAGACACCGACTCCTGCGCGGCGAACTTCGCTAGTTCCTGTGCCGGAGACGAGCACCTTGGCCGTACCTTTGCAGGCGACTCCGGTGATAGCTCCTTCGGAACTGCAAGCACAGCCCCCAGAACAGAGATCTTCTCCCTCGGAACTACGAGCGCAGTCATCAGAACAGAGGCCTTCTCCGTCGGAACTACCAGCGCAGCCATCAGAACAGAGGTCTTCTCCGTCGGAACTACACGCACACACAGCCGTCAGAACAGAGGGTCGTTTGTGCCGCAAGCATCTGGCCCCCTGGGCTTAGCCCAAATGTCGCAAGCATCTGGTCCCTCTTCTCGCGCTTCGAGACAGGTGTCACATGACTCGTCAGCTCGTCAACGGTCGTTTCAGGGCACCTCTGCACTAGAACGGGACCTGAAATCGCTGACGGACAAGATGACTTCCCAAGGCTCTTCTCGAGGCACCAAACGACCCGGCGATCCTCTTCCAGTATCTGTGGCAGCACCGGCTACGAGATCTTTGACCCAACACTTTGGACGAGCCCAATGAGCAGGTCTTTCTCACATTTTGTCGAGATTGCGGTGAGCAACATGTGAAGTCTTGGTTCGATGAAGCTGTGAAGTCTTGGTTCGATGAAGCTAAAGAAAGAGAGACCCTCGAACCACGCTTTGAGGATCGTGATGACCTCAAGAATCTGCCTCCTCCAGAACCTGATGCACCGCAAGCTTCTGAACCACCTCCCGAATTCAGTGTTTCCTTATCTACTGCAAAAGCAGCCGACGACTACAGCAGTGGCGGCAGACTCTTGGATCGTCAACGAGCCCTTTGCCGCTGGGATGTACTACATCGCTTGCAACCCTACCAAAAGCCACAACTACCTGACTGCAGCCCACTACTTCGGCGACCACACAGCTACGGACCATGTCGACTCCTCTGGGAACTTGATCTCCACCTCATCCTCTCCAAGCTCGACTGAAACTATGTCTCGGAGACTGCTTGACCAAAAGGACTTTCGTCCCGAGACTTTGTCATCACCTTCGGCGTCATGGCATGGAAGGCGACGTGACATCCTTTTACATCGCCAAGAACTCCCGAGCCCGATGCCACCGAGACGCCCGCCCACAATCTGAAGGGCACTCCCAGCTGGACTACGTCGGTCGGGAGCTTCACTGGTGGCCGTCTCTGGGTCGAGTGCCGGTCCAAACATCCATGTACCGCATTGTGAAAGGCAAGTGCGTTCCGGGTGTCACGGTGAACACTCGTGATGAAGTTCATGCTTTTCCCGCCGATTGCCTTCATGAGGTGGAACCTTCCAAGGGCGACCGTTACAGCCTGGCGGCCTACACTTCGAGGTCTTTCGACTTCACGTTTCAAGGATTACGACGCAAACTTCGGAAGCTGGGATTCCTTGAGTCCTCCGCGCGCTCTACTTCCTGGCAAACTCTGGTGGATCAGTGGCCTTTGGAACGTCCTGAGTGGCTTGAACTTCCAGTGTGCAAGGCCTACCCCGTTCGCTCCTGGAAGCCTACTGCGGACGGCGAGACGATGGCCGTGCGAGCTCAGAGGCAGGCCTTGAAGAAGGAGCTACCGTGGCAGGCCATGTCCGAGACTGAGTTTCCCCAGTTTGTGCAGGCGGTGCTGGACGAGTGGTCTGAATGGAAGAAGTGGTCAAACTGCCGGCCGGTTTACGTGGACGTCAACAAGATCGACCCGTCGCTTATCTTGAAGTCCAGAGTGTGTTTTCGCTGGAAGCCTCGGGGCGACGGCACCTTCAAGCCGAAAGCGCGGATTGTCGTCGCCGGTTACAGAGACCCTCGCCTGCCACTCTTCAGTCGAGACTCACCTGTACTTTCCTCCCGCGCAGGCCTGCAGTGCATTCAACAGTGGGCCACATCGCGAAAGTTCTGCTGTGGACGGGCGACTGCAAGAGCGTGTTTCTCCAAGGCACCGCGGACACGGAGAGGCCCGCTCCTCTACAAGCTCTCAGCGCCACTGTACGGTCAGGCCAACGCTTCGCGGCGGTGGTATTTACACGTCCGCCAGGTGTTGGATGGGAGACGCATACCCTGGACCCCTGCTTGTGGCTCAAGAAGGAGGTCATTGCGGGCAAGAAAGTCGTGGTGGCCGTCTTCGGAGTGCACGTGGATGATATGACCCTTGCCTGCCGCGATGGCGGCTACGACAAGTACTTCAACGAAGCCCACGGCTCATTCACGTGGGGCGGCGAGTGGCAGTCCAAGGACTTCACTTTTGTGGGACGACACATCTGCCAGCACGATGACTGGACCCTCGCCGTGGATCAGGCGAGCTATGTGTCGGAGGTTCC